AAGGAAGGAAGGAAGGAAGGAAGGAAGGAAGGAAGGAAGGAAGGAAGAAAGCCAAATACTAAGGAGCACCCATCCTAGGTCGGGGCCTGCCCTGAAGCCTGGGACCACTGGGGAACAGCCAGCCCTGGGGTTCTGCAGGCCCTGTGGCAACATCCTCTGAGGCAGGCGGCATCTTGGCCTGCCCTACACCTCCCGCCGACAGTTCTCCTCCTTAAGAAAACTTTGGCTTTCACCAAAACAGGCCAACTTTTTTTTTTTCTCTTTTTATTTTTATTTGCCTTTATTCTGCAGAATTTACTCCCGGGCCATAAGTTTTTGTTTCTTCAGTTTCTTCTGGGATATCTTTTTCTTCTGTGCAACCTCCTCTTCTGGTTTAGGAACAATCTGCTCTTTTTCACTAAGGATCATCTCAATGTGGCAGGGAGAGCTCATGTATGGGTTAATCCGACCATGAGCCCTGTACATTCTACGCCGCATCTTGGGGGCTTTGTTCACCTGGATGTGCTCAATGACCAGAGAATCAACATCTAAACCCTTAAGTTCAGCATTACTCTCTGCATTTTTAAGCATGTGCAGTAAAAATTCAGCACTCTTCTTGGGCCACCGACCCTGTGTCCAGCCCCACTGTTTGGCCTGGGCACACCTACCAACTTCACCATTGTAGCGACGTAATGGCACACACTGCTTCTGTAAAGTGACGTCTTTCAGATTCTTGGTGGCTTTTCCGATATGCATACCCTTGATGGCCTGGGCAGTTTCACGTGTGTTCTTAAAGTGAACACGAAGATTTGAACCTCTTGATTTACATGATTTCGTAGGGTTTTCTGGGTCAAGCGAATAGCGAACCATTTTCAGAGGTCACCTCAGGCCGCTTAGGGGGAAGAGCAAAACAGGCCAACTTTTTCATCCACCACACATCTTCCTCTCTGGAAGCCGCCCCCACCCCCAAGCAGGATTTTATCTGTGAATTATGGCGATACTAGGGAAAATCAGCATCAGCCTCAAACAGCTATTTCACTTAGGGCCAGTGGCTTCCTAAACAAGCAGTTCAGGTAAACTGTGGTTAACAAAACAAGATGGAGTATTAACACACCCAAACCCGGTTGTTACTCTCCACTGGTTAGGATTTGAGAGGATAAGACTCAGTCCCCAGAGATAATTCAGAGGCAAGGACTCAGGGAACAAAAAGCCTCCATTGGCCGGCCTTTCATAGAGATCTCATCTCCGGGTCCTGGCAAGTGGGTGAACCATCCTCCTCCACCCTGCTTAACGGGGACCTCACCCACCTCGGGCCCACCACCCTTTAGGAAGGAACGGGGTGCCAGCCAGGGCGCGGCAGCCCGGGAAAATAGATTCGACCTCTTTCCCCGAGTGCCCCCGGACGCCAGCAGGCGCAGGCCGTACCCCGGAGGCGCGAGGTCTCCCCGCGCAGCCCACCCGCCGGCCGGGCTCGGGGCGAGGGAGGGGCGCGCGCTCGGGTGCGAGCCGGACACCGCCGGGCAGCGGCGGCGCGGGAGGGCGGCGGCGGCGGCGGCGGCGGCGGCGGCGGCGGAGGAGGAGGAGGAGGAGGGCGCTGAAGCCACACCCATCGGCGAGCGGATCCGGGGGCAGCAGTCGTCGGCCGCTGCGCTCGAGCCTCCGCCCGCACCGAGCCGCGGGACCCGGGCCGCACCGGGGAGGGGCCGCTCCGGGCCGCAGCGCGAGGGCAGCGAGGGGCGGCGGGCAGCCGGCGCCGGGCGGGGCCGGCGGCAGCGACCATGATCGCTTTGTTCAACAAGCTGCTGGACTGGTTCAAGGCCCTGTTCTGGAAGGAGGAGATGGAGCTCACGCTGGTCGGGCTGCAGTACTCCGGCAAGACCACCTTCGTCAACGTGATCGCGGTACGGGGGCGCGGGGCGCGGGCCCGGGGCGCCGGCCGAGGGTCGGGCCTGTCTCGGCCCGCGCCGCGCCCTGGTGAGCCGGGGTCGCCGCCTGGCATGGCCGGGCACCGCCGGGCGGGGGAGGAGCGGCCCCGGGCGCTTGGGGCCTAGCACGGCCCGCGGGGGACCCGGGTGGCGCGCGACCCGCTCTCCCGTCCGGGCCGGGATGGCACAGCTGGGGGGGGGGCGGGGAAGGGGGACGAGGACACGGGCTGGGGCCCTGGGACTGGCGGTCCCTGGGGGTCACGAGGCAGGAGGGAACCGCCGCCTGCAGAGACAGGTCCCCTCCGGTCCCCGCGCATGGGGGCATGACGGGGCGAAAGTGCCCGGGCCTTCCCGCCCCGCGTGCGGAGGGTCGCGGCTTGGGGAGGGGGGGCTTGGGCGAGCTCAGCCCCACCCGGAGGCTTTAACCCCTCTCTGCCGGAAGAGGAAGCCCCGCGCTATTGAGGGGGAGGGGACGTACCCCCTGGGGGTAGTGGAATCAGCTGAGGCCCTTGGCTCGCGCCCAGACTCCTCCCCTCCAGGAACCCGCGGGGCGTCTTCGCTGGGGGTCCGGGGAGGGTGGCATCAGAAAGGGAGTTTGGAGTCTCCGCCTGGCTCAGAAGTTGCAGCTGGAGGTGTCTCGGACCAGAGGATGAGTTTGGAGGGGCGCTGCCCACTCTGGACACGGGAGAGAGGGGCTCTGAGGGTTTTGGGTAGTCGAGTCCGAGGTGGACAGTATTCCGTCTTTCGCTGCTAGGGAGTGGTGGGGAAGGAGTTAAAATCTCTCAAAAAAAGGGAAGACGAGCTCCATGGGTGTGTGAGCTGAGGCTGCAGTAACGGCTGCGGCCTGCTTTAAAGAACCTGGAAGGACTGGGCCGGCCTGCTTTAAAGAACCTGGAAGGACTGGGCGTGTGGGGCTGAGGGAGGCTTGGGGCAGGGGGCGCTGGGGTTGTCGCGGCCCGGCCCCAGTCCCCATCCTAGGGTTTCTGAGAATTGTGAATTGGCCACATACTGGCCCCAAACGCGCATCCTAAGAGAGGTCAGCGAGGAAGTGTGGCCAGGCAACCTAGGTACCTCCCCGCGCCTGTGCTGCTGCCCGTCCGGAAGAGAGCCCCCTGATGGATCGCAGCATCCCAGAGGCGGGAGGGCAGAGGGAGGGCTGGAGCTGCGGGTACCCCATGGCCTCATGTTTGGGCACCGGCCTCCGTTTCCAAACATGCTTGGCAAATGACCTCTGCCCCTTCCTCCACCCCATGGTTCCTGGCTCCTCATCGGACAGGGCAGGACCTTCAGGCCCATGCTGGGTGTTTTGGCATGATGGTTTCCTAGCCAGCATGTGCCCCTGAGCTCCCGTCTGCCCAGGCGCTGGGCCTAGAGTTTGGCCTCTAGTTAGATCGGGCATTGACTCGGGCTCTTGGGCCCCCTGGGAGCATAGTGCGTGAACTCTAATCCTGCAGGCCTGCGTGGCTTGGCTTCTAGGCATTTCGATCTGGGAGGTGTCTCCAGGGTAGGGCCAAGAGGAGGAAGTTCCTGCTGCTCTAATGCTCAGCCTCCCTGTCCCCTCCAGTCCCCAGGGAAACTCTCCTCATGGAACGTTTCTGAAAGCCATGCTCCTGGCCAGAGACCCACAGGTCCCCGGGTGGGTTCCATTTCCTGGTCAGGAGGGCCTCCCCTAGACCTGCATCATATCTAAAACAGGAACAGAGCTCAGGAGTCACAAATGACACTGTCAGGGGCAGAGTTTCTGAGAGGTACAGGGAGCGCCCCCCTCCCCACCCTGTGCATTCCCCTTTCTAATATTCAATCTGCCACTTCGGCTTGCACGTCCTAAAAGTGCAAGCAAAGTTTCCCTTTAAAGTGGCTTCCCAAGAAAAACCACCCCTTGTAGACTTCAGTGGGAGTTCCAGCATCAGGGGAACCTGTGTTCTTGGATCTTCAGGGCGCCGACAGTGGTATTTCTGCCCACCTTGTGCATAAACACAGTAGAGTGTCTTTCAGAAAGAAATGAAGAATTGGGACCCCTGGGCTCTGTTCCTATGCCCACTACCGACTCTCTGAATCACCTTTGCCTGTTCATTTAGCATCTGTTTGTCTCAGCTTTTTCCCTGGTTGGCTTTTTCTACTCGCTATATGAGGTCTGACTGTAAATAGAAATGGAGTTGATGTGTCTAGCCGCTCAGCAGGCTAATGTGAACTGGAAAAAATAATTATATAGAGACTTCACAATGCTTCTAAGAACCTAAAACTGATCTTTTGAGTTCTTCTGAAAAAATTGTGATGTAAAAAGTAGGAGCTGTTTTGCCTGAGGGAACCAAGAGAGCCATTTTCAAATATTTGAAGCCCTTTAAAGCCATTTAAATATGTAAAGGCCTTCCTATGGAAGAACTCATCTCCGGGTACCCAAGCCTTTGGAACAAGGGATGGGAGTTACAAGAAGATGGATTTTTGACTCATTATAAGGAACTCATAGGGGCACCTGGGTGGCTCAGTCGTTGGGCATCTGCCTTCAGCTCAGGTCATGACCCCAGGGTCCTGGGATCGAGCCCCGCATCGGGCTCCCTGCTCGGCGGGAAGCCTGCTTCTCCCTCTCCCACTTCCTCTGCTTGTGTTCCCTCTCTCGCTCTGTCTCTCTCTGTCAAATAAATAAATAAAATCTTTAAATAAATAAAGAAAGAAAGAACTCTCAGAGAGCCGGAGCCCACCCAAGAGGGAATGAGCCAGAGCGTATTCAAGTCTGAGACCAGAGGTTAGACCACATGACTTTGGGGTTACTTCCACCCTTAAATGAGGAGCTTGTGAGATCAGGCCTTAGCAGGGAAGTGAAGTCATAGCCTGGTTCCAGCTTAGCTTTGGTTCACAGCTGAACTGGAAATATGGGTGCCCGGGAGCCTGGTTCCCTGGCGGTCCTCCTACCCAGGAGCATATTCGGCCAGGCTAGGCTTTTCCTTTATCTGGGAGCCTGTGGGTCTTCTAGTTCCCAGAGATGCCAGATGGGTCCTCATGCTATATCCAGGCCATTTCCAAGCACTCTGTGAGCCTTATTTGCCAGTCTCTAGGAAACGAAAACCCTTCTCCCCATTTCACAGAAGGAAAACTTGAGGCCCAGAGAGGTTGAAGTGCCTTGTCCAAGCTCCTCCATGATGAGTGATTAACAAAAACTGGGCTTTCTTCTTCAGACCTTTATGTTCTTCATGAGCCCAGATGAGGAGGAGTGGACTTTGGTCCAGCAGATGCCCCCACCGTGGCACGCTGCTGGGGTTTGGGACTTAGACCGCATGTGATTAGGGTCTCCATCCTTAGTGAGAATAGAAGCCGTCCTCCCTCAGGGCTCTCCTTTCTCTCAGTGATTCCTAACTTTTAGGGCTCTTGGGTCTTTTTGATATCTGATAAAAATAAGAGACCCTTAGGGTGCCTGGGTGGCTCAGTTGGTTAAGCGTTCGACTCTTGGTTTCCACTCAGGTGATGATCTCAGGGTCGTGAGATGGAGCCCCAAGTCAGGCTCCACACTGGGCATGGAGCCGGGTTAAGATTCTCTCTCCGTCTGCCCCCCACCCCCTGCTTGCACTCTCTCCCTCTCTAAAAAAACAAAAACAAAACACACATTAGAAACCCTTTCCCCAGAGAAGTGTCCATACAAACAGAAATTTTGCACATGCAGATTGGGTGCAATTTCAGGGTGTTCGGGGACTCTCTGAAGTTCATCTGTGGCCCACAGGTTAGGAACCCTTGCTCCACCTTGTCACTAGCATCAGTCATGGGGACTCACTTCTCACTTCCAAGGGCCTTAGTGAATGAGTCTGGGTGATTCTTGCAGATAAAAGGGAATCAATACCTCTCATTCAGATGGGACCTCGGGAGTCTTCCCTCAGGCCTACAGGCTCTGAATAAGAAATCATCATCTCCTACACCTTGGCTAATGTTCAGAGCGCCTGACTTCTGTATGTGACCTGAGGTAAATTATTCCTGCCACCTAGCAGAAGAAAATGGCATGGTACAGAGACAAGGCTGTCACCCTCAGATTCAAGGTTAAATAAGCCCCATCTCCTGCATCTGGGGGAGGAGGGTGGTAAGCAGAAGTGTCCTACATGGGAACATGAAGATGACCTTGGAGGGAGTTTGGCCTGGCCTTACTTGAGGCCTGGGGCTAGTTTTCTTTCTTTTTTTTTTTTTTAAGATTTTATTTATTTATTAGAGAGAGAATGAGAGACAGCATGAGAGGGAAGAGGGTCAGAGGGAGAAGCAGACTCCCTGCTGAGCGGGGAGCCCGATGTGGGACTCGATCCCGGGACTCCAGGATCATGACCTGAGCCGAAGGCAGTGGCTTAACCAACTGAGCCACCCAGGCGCCCCTGGGGCTAGTTTAGAGCAATCTAGACATCTTGGAGACGATTCAGAGGGGGAGACATGAAGATCATTAGAATTTGAAAATGGGTTATGAGATATGGAATAATAGTCAACTTCTTATCATTCAGCAAACATTTGCTAATGTTGTTAATGGGGACATGGTTCCCCTCCCCAGGAAGCTCTCAGTCTAGTGGGAGACACATGAGTCAACAGGGAATGTAGAGTGTGGATTATCCGCCCTAACAAATGGAGTATAGTGCAGATAAACCAGAACCATGGATAATCCAGAAATTACGTCGTGTGCAGTGCATTTTGGGGTGGCCTGTTTACCTTCCATCAAAATATTTACTGCTCATTTGAAGATATGTCTGCTTCCCTTGAGATTCCCCCCTGTTTGCCCTGACCTGTTTGAAGTCCTTTTGCTGGCAGCTGATTGCTCTTCTGCTCTACTGGAGACTCAGTACAGTAAAGGGGCATCTGTTGCCACCGAGAGATGGTGGTTAGACCTTAGGAAGAATTTTTTCTCTGTCTAGGCTGAGAGACTTCGAGGCGGGCAGGAGAAGACAGGGCCTCTTGTTCACAGGAGAGCCGCACGGAGTGGGTGGACACCTGGGTTGTTGATGGCCGTCCTGCCTGAAAGCAAGGGACTCTCAGGAGATGGCCCCGTGCCCCTTGCAGAGGGTGCCTGTGACGCTCTGGCCTGGCCTCTGCTGTATTCTTGCAGCCCTTGTGACTCTGCCTGCCAGGGACAGCACATCTGGGTTCTGTCGACTTGGTCCCCTTTTCCAATTCTGACTCTTCCTTCCAGTCAGGACAGTTCAATGAGGATATGATCCCCACTGTGGGTTTCAACATGCGCAAAATCACCAAAGGGAATGTGACCATCAAGGTGAGTGGCAGGAAGCCAGAAACTCTGGGCACAGAAGAGCACCTGTGTGCCTGCTGGGGCGGAACCCCCGGAACGAGTTGGGGAGGGTATCTGAGACCCCTGGGAGAAGCCAAAGGAGGGCAGAGGCTTGGAGAGGTGGGAAAAGAGCACCAAACTTCTGAGGCAGTCAGAGGGGTGTAGGCACAGGAGGGATGGACAGCAAACCAATCCCTGGGTGGGGGAGCGGAACGGGGAGCCAAGAGGGGTTTGGTTGCCTGCCTATTGCTGAGACCATGTTGCCCTCTTCTCACTCAGCTCTGGGACATTGGGGGACAGCCCCGATTCCGCAGCATGTGGGAGCGCTACTGCCGAGGAGTGAGTGCCATCGTGTAAGTGCAGGGCCGGGTTGGACATGGGGCTCAGCCTCCCCGGCTTCCCCCCAGGCCTCACCGCCTGCAGGGACCCCTCCCCGGCTTCCCCCCCAAACTTCACCGCCTGCAGGGACCAGAGGCGCAGAGCTGGATTAGTCACAATCCTTGGTTCAGGGTACACTGTCCAGTCCAAAGGAAGCCTGCCTTTGCTTCGTGTGCTGCGTGTTTCTTGCCTGCAAAACGCTCTGAGCACCTCCCGGGCAACCTGAGAGCCAGAGCATCAACCAGCCGAAAGTACCTGTGTGTCTCCCTGCCTCCCCCACCCTAGAGTCACCACTATCCTGAAATTTGTATGATTTAAATGGTTTGTTCCCTTGCTTTTTTTAAAAAATAATTTTATCCTACATATATATGCCCAACAAAAGATTGTTTTGTTTTCGTTGTGTTTGACCTCATTTTTTAGAAGTGTCTTACTGTAAGAAAATCTGGGGCTGCCTTTGCTTTGTTCCCTCAACCAGGGCTAGTCTTCCCGTGCAGACCGAAGAGGGTCATTTTGGAAGGGATTTACACCTAATCTTAAAGGGCCAGGCTTCACCCCTACGTGGCAGCTTGTCCAGAGGGGACTTTGGGATGACAGGACAATGACAGGCCGTGGAGGAGGCCCAGGTAGCCCATAGATCCAGAGGTGACCAAGCCCCAGCAAGATGTTTCCTCCTGCGAGCACAGCTCCTGTGCCTCCCTCTCAGCCTGTAGTGTCATCATGCTTGTCCCCACCTGCTCTCCCCCAGGTACATGGTGGACGCCGCTGACCAGGAGAAGATTGAGGCCTCCAAGAATGAGTTGCACAACCTACTGGACAAACCCCAGCTGCAGGGCATCCCGGTCAGCAGCCTAATGGAGTGGGAGGGGAGGGAGCCAGCTGGGAAGTCACTGGGGGCAGGGCGGGAGGCAGGTGAAGGCCATGGGGTGGGGGAGGGGAAATGGCTATCCTGGCGCAGCAGCCCTGGACATAGTCCCTGTCCTCCCTTCTCTGTAGGTCTTAGTCCTGGGTAACAAGCGAGACCTCCCGGGAGCATTGGATGAGAAGGAGCTGATTGAGAAAATGTGAGTTTGGTTACTCTTCTCTGTCCTTCCTGCCTGCTCCCCAAATTTCCCAGGCAACGGAGAGACGGCTTGCTGCTGTGCCCAGTGTCCGCCACACGGTGGCAGCAGAGCCCACTTCGCCAGGAGCCTCGCCCTTCCGGGTGTAGCTCCTTCAGCAGGAAAAGGACTCGGTTGCCCCCAGCCCCAGGCCCCCTGGGCAGTCCTAGCCTCAGCAGGTTCTCCTCTGGTTCCCCCCCAGGAATCTTTCTGCCATCCAGGACCGAGAGATCTGCTGCTACTCCATCTCCTGCAAAGAAAAGGACAACATTGGTGCGCGTGGGTATGGGGGAGTTGCTGACATTCTGGGAACAGCCACAGGGCGAGGGGAGGAGCAGAGAGGCACTCCTGGGGATTCTCATACAGTGGCTCTCAAAGCTTTAACCTCCCCAACTTTCCTTGAAGCCCAAAGTTCGAATCGTCTCCTGGGGTGGGACCGGTATCCAGGGAGCTCAGATTCTGAGCATTACCCCAGCTCTGCCCTCGACTGGTTGTGTGATCTTCGGCCCATCACTCCCTTCCGTGGGCCTCACGTCCCGCACTATAACATCACAGGGTTGGATCAGGCAGTCCTGGCTGTGACATCCCACGGCTCCAGCTTTCCCAGCACCCACACACACCCCGCCACGCATCTGGGGCTGTTTGGAGCTTGATGGCTCTGGGCTTCTGGTGCCCTTAGAGCTGATCCCCAGTTGCAGTTTTGGAAGCCCTGGGCTTATGCCACGCCCCTGGGTGTTTGCTCCCCACCTCCCCAGTCTGCCCAGCACGGGAAGGCCTCTAAACTTCTCCGTTGTCCTCCACCCAGACATCACCCTACAGTGGCTTATTCAACACTCAAAGTCGCGGAGAAGCTGAGACTGCGGTCCTTCCCCCTCGGACCAGGGACCTGCTGTCATCCAAACCCGAAGCCGAGCTCCCCGCCCACCCCGCCGTCCCCCCTAAGCCTGCCCCTCCTCACTCAGCGTGGGGAGGGGCCCTCTGGGGATCCCAGAGTCCTGTTCTGCTGAGGTTTGAACTCCTGATTTTATTGTAAAATAAACTGCTCCCATTCTGGTCCCCTAACCTCTGCCCCTCCCCCTTCCCTCCCCCCCCCCCCCCCCGCTTCCGTCCCCTTAACAGCCCGGGCCCCACAGCCCCTGCCCTCCACTCTCCCGTGTCCCGCCCCTACGCTGCCCTTTTCAACACTCTTCTGTTATTGTCCTGTGTGTACAGTATATATATGTATATATATTTTAATTTTTTAATTTAAGCAAAGACTAAAATCAACCATTTGATGCTGCAGGGGCCTGTCAGGATCTGGGAGGGGGGCGGTGTGGAAGGAAGGCAAGAGAGGCAGGGCTGGCTCAGGGCAGGTCGAGATTAGGAAGGTGAGAGCCCCTAGGGCAGGTACCAGCCTGGGCACTGGTGGCGTCCCCATGTCCCGTTTGTTTCCACTTCTCAGTCTGGCTTGTCCCTGCAGTGCTTGAATGTCACAGGCCGACAGGAGCCTCCAGAGGTGCCCCTCTCTGACCCCAGTCTCAGTAGGGCGACCAGGCACACCTGAGTGCCAGAGACAACTGGGCCAAAGGGCAGGAGGCCAGCCTCCACGCGGCCCCGGCAGCCCCTCCTGCCCCTTCCTAGGGCCCCCAACTCCATGGGCCACCTCATTTTCTGTTCTCATTTTGCAGAGTTGCACAAGGAGAGAACTCAGCATGGGGGGTTGGTTCTTTGGGTTTTGTTTTCTGTTTGTTTATTTGTTTAATTTAATGATTTGTAAAGTGATGTTCCTCTTCCTTTTTTACACTTTTAGCTCATATTTAACCTCTGTTTGGAAAATGATTCTTGTAACTGTACATTTTTTGCCTCCTAACAACAAGAATAAATGACCAGTTTTGTGTTGGGGGGGCGTCCGGGGCTGGTTATTTGTCCACAGACACCGCGGGAGGAGTGGCGGGCCTGCACACTGGGCACAAACAGCCACAGAGAGCAAGGCACGTGCTCACGCTGGGCGCACAATGGCACCTCACAAAGCAGCCTCCCGCACATGTGCCTGGGCCTTGCCCGGCCTCCTCCTCCCTCCCTCGTCAGACTTGCATGCGGTCCCGGCTCTGAGCTTGCAGCTGCCAAGGAGAGCCCAGCAAGTCTGGGGGCTGGGGGTCAGCGTGGCGGGAGTGTGGGGCTGCATCCCGATGTGTGCAGGCCTGAGCCTCTGGTTCCCAAGAGTCCATTCAGAACCCCACATGCAGGGCGCCTGGGTGGCTCAGTCGTTAAGCGTCTGCCTTCGGCTCAGGTCATGATCCCAGGTTCCTGGGATCGAGTCCCGCATCGGGCTCCCTGCTCCGCGGGAAGCCTGCTTCTCCCTCTCCCACTCCCCCTGCTTGTGTTCCTGCTCTCGCTCGCTCTCTCTCTGTCAAATAAATAAAATCTTTAAAAATAAATAAATAAAATAAAACCAATGTTTAAAAAAAAAAAAAAAGAACCCCACCTGCAGCTGGAGCTGGGCCGAAGCCGGAACTCTGTCCCCACCCATGATGAGCCAGTTACTTGTCCCCCAGGGCCTTTAGGGCCCGATGGCGTCCCTCCTTCCCTGCTCCCCTGCTGGTGTCAGTGCTCCTGGTTTTCTGGGAAAGGGTACCCCCTTATCCCTCTGCCCAATCTCAGTCCTCTCCCCCGCTTGGCCCCAGCCTCCAGAGCTGGTCCCCCCTCCTCCTCGCCCACAGCTGCTGCCTTAGAGCCTTGTGGGACCTGCTTACCCAAATCCGGGGCCATCTTGACCCAGTTTTGCAGCAAGCCCCGCCTCCCCGCCCCTGCTTGGCCCACCCCCAGCCTCCCTCCCCCTTGGAAAAAGGAGCAGGCCCCTACAGCTGCTCCATGCCCTCTCGTCCTGCCTCTGTAGGAAGAAGGAGCCACACGGTTCGCTAAGATCTGGGAGCAGGGAGCCCAGGGCTCAGGGTCCTGAGCCTGCCCTGTTGGCTCTGAACTTCACCAACCCTTTCTTAGGGCCCAGAGCTTCCTCCTGGAGGCACTTTTCTCATCAGAAATGACTTGCTTCAGAGGAGTCTGAGGAAAGAACGTGGATGGAATTTGGCAAAGGGAGCAAAATGATTTTAGGGTGTCTTCCAGCTCTAAGGACTAGGAAACGTGCCCCCTGGTTAAGGAGGTCGAAGCTGGGGCCAGCCTGCCCCTGTGCTCCCCCTGCTGCAGAGGCTGCCCCTGGCCTGGGAGGCCGGAAGAGGCCTGTCACTCATACGAGGAGCAGGACGGGGGCAGGTGGCAGGGTTGACCTGCCTTTCCCTGTCCTGAATCCCCCGATGAGGGGCGACATCTGAGATTAGTCAGGATGAGCTGGTGACGAGCAAGTAGGTATCCTACCGCCCTGCCTGCACACAGCAGGTGCCTAATAGGGCCCAAAGAACTTGTGAAACTTGGACAGGGAACAGACTTGGGCGGCTATCTGTAAATCCTCATGCTTGGGGCCCTTTGAAGCGCCAAAGCCTGGATGAGTTTTGAGAGTACCCTGGCCAAGCCTACTCTGTAGTACTAGAGAATTCATTTCCCAAAAGGAGGAAAGGAAGAAAAAGTGCCAGGTGTCATGCCAGATGCTTTATGTATCTTGTCCCATTTAACGACTGTAGTCCTCTGAGAGGGGTTATTCCCATTTTACGGATGAGGAAACAGAGGCTCAGTAACCGTCCACTCTGATTGGAGGGAGGTGATTCTCACCGCAAAGCGCTCATGCTCTCTGCTCCGCACTCCCAGCTCCGCACTCCCAACGGAGGGGGGAGGCTCAGTGGGTTGCCCTCCCCCCCCACCCCCGCATCAGGGCCTGAGGGCTGGTCTGAAGTCCGCCCTGGGGGGAGGGAGAATGTCTGCGCTGCCTCTGAGCATCCCAGCTCAAATCCACCGCCCACCACTGTGCCAACCTGCACCCCCATCCCAAGCCTGGGACCCCTAAGCAACAAATGCCACATTGTTCCCCCAGCTGGCCCAGGCTGGAGGGACAGTGGCTCTTTCCCAAGGCCCTGCTGGCCTGCTGACTAATCTTGCAAGCCATTCACGTTGGCAGGCGTGGGAGGCAGAGGTGGTGGCAGGGCCCCGGAGACACCATCCCCCCACCTCCCTTCAGCTCTGAGCTGGCCAACCAGCAGGAGGGAGAGGCAGGGGTGTGTGTGTGTGGAGGGGTGCCCTCTGGAAAAGTCCTCCCAAACAGGATGCTGAGGCTCTCCCCTCCCCTTTCCCCAGCCTTCCATCCTCAGCCCTCTCCCGGAGCCAGACCTTACCTCAGTTCACCCCGGGCCCCCTCCCTACATCCCATAGGAAGCTCCTGGTGAGTCTAGGACTGGGGGTGGGAGTGGGGGTAGAGAGGAAGTTGGGGGGTGTGTGTGGGAGAAATGGCTCTGGTAACCTCAGTGCCTCAAGCCTGCCTTTGGCCCCCTCTCCAACCTGCCCCCCACCCACCCATCTTAAGTTTCTACAGACAAAGCTGAGGGCTTCGGTCGCTGTGGCAACAGGTCTGCTGAGAGATGGGTGGGTGTCATTCCCCAGCACAAAGAGTGTGCGCATGGCGGCCTCATCACTTAGCAACGGCCTCCCTCTCTCTTGGAGTCACCCGTCCTGGGGGTGGGTGCCAGGAAGAGAGAACAAGGCCATTAAGATCCCCAAGGGGCGGGGGAAGGGGGCTTGGGTCCGGGGCCGGGCTGAGGCCAAGGGGTGTGGGTGGGGTGGACAGAGGAGAATGGGGCCCAGTGCACTCAGCAACCACTGTCCCTCATCATCCCGGGTCCCTGGGACCCTTCCAAGGCCCCCTGTAGAGGTTCTAAGGTAGACCTGGCAGCCAGAAGTTGCCGGTGGGACCCAGAGCTGCACTTTGGATGGGGAAGGGTGGTTCTGAAGGAAGCTGGGCTTAGGAGGCAGGGAGTGATTTGTGGCTTAGGCCAAGGTGTCCCTTCTGGTTGACCTCGGGCCGGCTTCTCTGGGCCCAAACAGGGTTAAGGGGGCCTTTGGAAGGGCCCCAGAGGGGGACCCGGTGGAAGTGGGATATGGGGGCAGGACCAGCAGGAGGAGCTCAAGGGTAAGGGTCTCTGGGGGCACAGGATGGAGCTCTGGCTGCCAGGAAGGGGGTGTGGTGAGGGCAGGATGGGGGCAGACGGGCAACAGGCAGCTGGGCCGTCTACAGGCAAAACAGTCTGTTCTAAGAAACTGAACAAGAGCAGCTCTCTCAGAGTCAGAGGGGCTGGAACCCCCAGGGCTCACGGAGGGAAGGCTGCTGGCTTCTCTAAAATGGGGGCTTTGTGGAGAGTGAGGAGCAGAGGTGGGGGCTCCAAAAGAGAGAAGTTTGCAGCCTTTTGACTTCTCAAGGATGCTCGGGCTCATGTCAGGAGGAAGACTTAGTCTCCACTTCCCAAGCCCTCCCACCACTCTGCCCCTCAAAAGCCATAGGGCTGTAGGGCTGGGCAGGATATCCGCCACAGGCCAGAAAGGGCCAAAGGGGGCCAGAACGAATCCCCCTAGGGTCCCACCTGTCCTGGAGAAGGGCCAGGTGCATCTGGGCACCGTCAGGGTGTGGCACAAGAAACTCCAGTGGGCACAGGGATAGTTCTACCTAGTTTATTGTTTTTGAAGAAGGGCCTGCTACAGAGGGGGACCCACCAAGGGAGGTGGGGACAGGGCAACCCAGGATATGTCAAAGAAGGAAGAGGAAGGAGAGAGAAATCCTCTGGAAGGAGGGGAGTTGCCAGGAGGAGGAGGAGGTGTCCAAGGCTAGGGAAGATCTGGTCCAGAGAAGAGCCAGGTAGGGCTGGCCCCCAAAGGACCCTCTATTCTAGGATGGATGAGTGTCAGGGAGACGATACTTAGAGAGGGCCCAACTAAAGTATAGCAGATTCCAAGACAGAGACAGGTGAAGTTCTGGCTCCCGGCTGGAGGGGTGGGGGGAGGGGGGCAGAGACTGAGGGTTTCTAGGCAGTTCTAAGGACCCGGAAGCATCACCACCCGCCAGTTGAGAGCCCAGGGCTGAAAGGCCCCACAGAGTGACAGGGAAGGTCCTGCTGGGGGAGGGGGCTTTGCCGTGCCTGAACCCAAACCCCGGCAGGAGGAACCAAGTCCATCACTAGAGAGCAAGACGGCAGAGAAGCGAGACCTATGGGGGCAGAAACACCAGACCCAGGCTGCGGGGGGAGGGGGGACACCCTCCCTGCCCCTCCGTGCCCCTGCCCCCGTGCCTCCCCCAGGCTGGAGCCTGGCCTCAGCAAGGCGTGCCCAGGGGCAGGAGCGGGGGCGACTCCCTGGGCTTGTGGAAGTAGATGGAGGAGGGCGCGGCGGCCTTGAGCTTGGCGTCTGAGGCGCGTGCATCCGAGGCACTGCCACATCCCCCCCAGCAGCAGCAGCAGCAGCCCAGGAAGGCCTGGCCCAGTGGCCTGCAGGTGCACAGGAGGAGCACGGGCGTGATGGCCCCCTTGGAGAAGGTGGAGAACTGGTTGATGAGGCCGAGGAGGTCTAGGGTCTGGCGAGTCAGCTCCGTGGAGAGGTAGGCCACCACGACGTTGCAGACGTTCTCGGGGAGGGTGCAGAGGGCGTAGACCACCGTCAGGCCCACCACCGTGCTATTGAGCTGGCTCTCACACTGCTCGTGCTTGTCAGCCCGGCACTCGGGCTTCCTCCCCGGAGGGCCCCGCACCCGCCACGTCACCAGCTGGCAGGTGACGGTGAAGAGGATGGGCAGGCAGAAGTAGCAGCCGAAGTACCACCACATGCGGGCGTTCTGGTAGGTCATCACCAGCGAGTAGAGCGACTCGGGCAGGCTGGCCGAAGGTTTCATGATGCATGAGTCCAGGGTGCCCGTGGTGGGGGAAGGCTCCTGCGACAGCTGCCACAGCAAGAGCTCGGGCACGGCCAGGATCATG